CTTCCTGTGGTTGGGTGAATGTGGTGAATATATTTTCAACTCTGCTTCTCTACGTAAATCATCGTCATTATACATCACCTTTTCTCCATGGTGTCTCTACAAATGACCTTCTGCCATTTAAATTTTGAAATTAAGATATTATTATTATTTTCATTTTTATTTACCGTATATTGGGTTTTTTCGGGTGTGTTTAATTTTCGCTTTGTTCGCGGGAGCTTAAAAACGCGAAAATTTGACCCCGCGTAAATTTCCATTCACTTTCCAAGATTGTTCGCTGTTTAATCGATTCATACATTATACTGTTAATTATCGAGTATACACAAAATTAATATGTAAAATCTTTTCACCCTGAAGGGAAAATAACATTAGCTTTTATATCAGTCTTTTGTCTTACTCAATAGATCACAAGAATGTGCATATTTAATTACGAATTCTGTTTCCGTAACAATTGAATTGGCTTATCATACCTTTTGACAAAAGTACAATCATTGACATGTTCACAAATATTAATAATATTAATGTGCCACATGTGGAACAGGATCTGCTTACCCTTCCGGAGCACCTGAGATCACCCCCAGTTTTTTGTGGGGTTCGTGTTGCTCAGTCTTTAGTTATCTATGTTGTGTTTTGTGTACTGTTGTTTGTTTGTTTGTATTTTTCTTTTTAACCATGGCTTTGTCAGTTTATTTCCGAGTTATGAGTTTGAATGTCCTATTGGTATCTTTCGCTTCTCTTCTAATAAACGACGATTTAATGATTTTTGTTAAAATATAAGCATTTTGCACATAATGTAAAATAAATGAAAATAAATCACTTTTGCACGGATGTTTTGCATAAATTTGCTGTGAAAATGATTTGCAATACTATCTGCTGCTTTGTACATAATTTACTTTCTTTGAATGTTCTTCGAGTTATGTGTATTTTAGTATGTAGTACTCGTATTTATTTGTTGTCGATTCTCTGTCAGTCAATCAAGTTTATGTTGTTTATATCTTAGTATACCACGTTGATTTTTTCCAAATCAGTGAAAATAATACACAGTGAAAATTTTACTTTCCCATTCGGTCATCAAATCGCGAAAAAAATCCGACGTGAAAAAAACCCGATATACGGTATACAGAAGCCGTTAGGTATACATCACATTCGCACGAAGCTTTATTCACTGCGAATTTCAAAACTTCATTCTCAGTACAACAATGTTTGGAAACAACTGTTACAAATCCTCATTCAAACCAATACAAACAATAATATAATTAAGGACCCGTTCGCGAGAAAGGTCTCGATGCCTTCAGCTTAGGCAATATCCTTAATCATTATCAGTTCAATTAAAAATACCTGCATATTTAAAAGATCAGTCAGTACCTATTAACTCGTTTATTTATACCAAACAAGTTGCGAATAAAATTTTCAATTACATACACGTGTTGCAGGATCTCATTATTGACTTCAAGTAAAAAACTACCAACTGCACATGTGCTATAAAAGTAAAAAAGATGTAGCATGATTAGCAATGAGAAAACTCTTCATCAGAGACAAAATGACGAAGATTATGGCAATGAGGTCATGGATACACATTAGAATTAAAAGAATTAATGGGCTTATGAAAACACATGATACATCGATCTTCAAAGACCCAAACAGTGCTAACCACCTGTCTGTCCTCTATGACAAATATGTTGTTGTCCCAGCAGATAAAGCACTAAACAACATCGTTTTTGAGTGTAAATCACATTACATCAACTGCTTGATAAAAATCAACATGTTTTTTTCAAAGACAATCTGCATTTGCATGGGAACCAGCTGTGCCGCTCTTCCTCAGACGCGTTCCATTTTTGTATTTGGCAAACTTCATACAGGAGCTTCTAAGGCGAAATGGAAAGCTAGCCTTATCCTTTAACGTCATGTTCTGCTATAAAGATGATGTCCTCTGACTGAATAGTTCAAAGTTGAACGCATCCATCCCATCGAACTTGAAATAAAGAATACAACAGATACAGTTAAGTCTGCCTTATATCTTGACTTACATCTAAAAGTTGACAATGAGGGTCGGTTAAGAACAAAAGAATACAAATATATGGATGATTTAAGATTCCCAATTATGAACTTTCCATTTCTATCTAGTAACATTCTGGCAGTACCTACATATGAAGTATATATCTACCAGTTGAGATGATATTCCAATATTTCCTATCATGATTTCCTTGATAGAAGGTTTCTGCTTACAAAAAAGCTATTTAAACATAGGTTCCAAGCAGTGAAGTTGAAGTCATCCCTTCGAAAATGTTTCGAACCACATCACGAGTTGGTTAACCATGAAATACCTTATCTGTTTAACGGATGACGACGGATGTGTTCCAATAGTCATTAACAGAATTTCGTCCGTCTTTTCCTCAAATATGATATCCCCGAATTAGTATTTATCACCGAGTTTGAAATCAGATGAGCAACATGCCGGCAGCCACATTTGGAAAAGAATTTTCTTACCCTTTCGGAGCACCTGAGATCAGTCCGGCTTTTTTTTTTTTTTTTCTTTTGATCTTAGTTTTCTATGTTGTTTTTTGTTTACTAATGTTTGTCTTTTGGTCTTTTTTCGTTGTTTATTTTTTTTTATTGTCTCGCGTTGTTAATTTTCCATTGATTTATGTATTTAAATATCCCGTTTGATATCTTCCGCTTGTCTTCCGTGTGTCCGAAGCTAGAAATAACTTCCTTAACTGTCAAAGTTAAAGAATTAAATGCAATGAATGTATGAATACTTAAAAATTTCAGGAGCTATAGAAAGAGAGTTGAAATTTAAACATAACGCCAACTTTCTATTTACTTTTTGGATAACCCTCTTTTGAATCTATAAAAACAGAGAGAAGCGTGCAAGAAGTAGCATTAAGTAGTTCCTACGAAAATACAAATCATATATCTGCTGTACGATTTGAACATATAATTCGACAAAGTATTATTAATAAGGGAGTTCAGCACATCCAAATTATTCTGTTTTAAAATGCAGAGAGATTTTCAAAAATGTCCTTTTAATGGTAAAATCAATAAAACATTTTTTAATATTTATTGTCTTAAACAATCATACAAACCGCTATAAAAATGTGTTAATTAAATAGCAGTTATAAGTTACAGCAAGACATACATTTGCATTTACTCGTACCGATTGGTACATTCAAAGTTCATATTTCGTCAATTTCCTATCTGCACTTGGGCCTATCTGACAATGCAGACATAGCCTATACCATTAAAGTTAAGCTTCTATAACGAATAAACAGGTAACTTTCAAATTTTATTAATCGAACTTTGAGTTATCGATGGCGTAATGTTAATTAGGTTTTAAACATTAGAATAGTCATTTTATTTACAACATGCAGTATCCATACCTTTTACCCTCATGAATACATTCTTTATGAATTTATAGAACAAACTAAAATATTGCAAAAACTACAATATAGCATTCTTGAATTCAAGCATTCTTTCTCGTGGCATACTTATAGCGTTGATTTTTTGTCGTTTTTTAATGCCGGAATTGGGAAGTAAAACTCCTATTTGGGACATTTCCAATGTACGTTATTACTCTCTATCGTGTCTGTCCAATGTCAAATCAAATATATGTTCATATCTTTGGTTTTTCCCCCTGTGAGAAATGTGAGGTTAGTTGAGGAAAGGTCTCTGGTAATGTATGTTTAATTCAATCACAACTTGTTCATAGCCTTGGAGCGAGTTAGAGCTTAAAAAGATGTTGTATGATTACCGATGAGACATGTCTCCACCAGAGACCCAATGACATAGAAGTTTACAACTAACGATCACCGTTCGGCCTTCAACAATTGTATGCCTTAAAAAGACAAATATTATCTTCATCAATAATGAAAAAAACAATCTGATAATTATCAGTGTTAGAATAATTTAACACGTGACGAAACATCAGATACTATGACATAAACCTGAAGAAATATTTTGTCTGTTGAAGTCTCAACCGTACGGAGAAAGACTTTTTCGCTAAATTGAATATTGCAGTATGGAAATTCAAATTATTTTCAAACAGCATATCGAAATATAAAAAAATAAGGAAATTTAGTATGATTGCCAATGAGACAACTATCCATTTAACACTATTTTTTTACTTGAAAATGATTTCTAGCTTTATTGGTTGCTGTTTTATATGTTTGACCTAACACGTCCTTTTTCGTATGATAATAATTTGTCTTACTCGGGCAGAAAATACACTTTATGCTTTAAAAAGAAAATATTATCTTAATTATTAATGATAGAAAACCTGATTATTATCAGTGTTAGAATAAAATAACATACCCTTGAAAAATATTTTGTCTGTAGAAGTCTTAATCCTACACAGAGAACTGTTTCGTTTAAAAGAAAAATATTATCTTAGATAATAATGAAAAACAAATCTGTGTTTAAGTCTCAACCCTACAAGGAAAACTTTTTCGTTACGATGAATATTGCAGTATGGCAATCTAAATTATTTTTAAACAGTATCCTTCGAATCTGTGATTGCCGAAATAAAAAGTTAGGTATTGTTCAACAAAGACACGGCTTAAGTACAAACATCTTAAAAGTAAAATTGAAAGGATTTTTGCTTTTAAATTTGTATGAAAAATATGTTCAGAACAAAATATTCAAGTAAAATTATAAATGTGGTGTTGATGCTTTTACAATGTACAAATGCTTTTTATATAAGATATTTTACATGTTGACATGAATTCATATTACATGCCTTAAAGTTAACGATTAGATAAATTTAAGAGGAGTTTAAATGATATTAGAAAATGAACAGGTTAACATGTATACCCCTATCATAATACAAACATGTCTGATTTATAAACGTACAAATTAATACAAGTAAGTTATTCTGTATCATATTTCTTTTGCTATTGGTGAAATTTATCATTATGAATGTATCGGATGAGTTTATGTCTTACAAAAATGATAAGGGAATAACTCATAATGGTTGACACTTGTAGTTGGCATATATGAGACATATGTAAGTTTGTGTTTGTACACATTTATGTAGAGAACATGTTTCAATACCGCATTTCTGACAATATTGATAATTGATAAAATTTAATATTGAAATGGTATGTAGAGTAAATAAATATCAATTGCAAATTCAAATACAATATTAAATACATTGTTTCTTTTTCATTTTATTTTCAAATCAGTATTTATTTATGTAATATTCTTTCTATTTTCTTTCAATAATCTTTATGTCAATTCTGTATGTAACATATGTTCATTGAAACTTTAAAGCTGCACACAAAAGAATTAATGCTTTAAACAAAATTAATGGTCAATTTATGTTCATCTTATTCCCTAAAATATATATAAAAAAATCATTATGTGTAGAGTATTACTTTGTTTCATGATTGTTAAATAGAAACTACAAATATTAATGATGACATATTATAACAATACATTATTTAAAAGCAAAAGCAATTGAATAAAGGTGGATGGTAAGTAATGAAAACAAGTAGCAACAGTCGTATTCATCAAACTTAAATACACTAATAACGCGGTGTATCCTGATCATACTGTTCTGCAAAGCACGGTGACTTGGTGATTAGATCGTATGATGGTGGTACCGAGGCTTGTGTTGAGTTTGGACCGGTTTCGTCGGTATAAGCTGGAGGCTGCTGCATATATCCAGGGTTTTCTATACCAGTAGTACCATTTTCAACTGGCCCTCGAATCTGATAAAAATGCATTTGTATAACTCACATTGAAAAGAGAACTTAAATGCGTGTCTTTGCTGACCTTCTAATCGCTTTTGAAATTAATGCTGGTTAACTTCATTCGTACGGTATGGTTAACTGGCAGACATATTAGCAATAATATTCATCAACAATTTGAATGTTAACTATAAAACATTTGCATTGTAAAATGATTTTAAGTCATTACTTATGATACCAATTGCTTTAAACATGCAGATGCAGAATATATATATATTCAAATACATACATTATAATACGATCGAACATAAAGAAAATTGTTGAAGGTGCATTACTGTTTATTTAAAATAAACTGTAGTCGGTCACTATTTACACATATATTTTGTACTTAATATTGGATTTCATTTCTGAATCGTTTAAATTTCAAATTTGTTTAGTAGTAAAACTAAAAAGGGATGACATATATGCATGTATCAAAGTAAAACAGTTATCAAAGTAAAAGTATGAACCAAAACAGTTGAAGAGCTATATGACCAAAAGTGAAGTAAAAATAACAGCCAAATCCATCTAAGGTCAACGTTTGCTTAGATAGCTTTAAACATTTGATAAATGCTAAAAAAAAATATATATAACAAATTTTTTCGAACACACAAAAGTTGCAGGATAAATTTACAAATGTAAATATTTACAATGAGGTATTTCTACTGTGCATGAAACTTAAGGACTTGAAGTTTTTGTTTATATTTAGTACATTTTGTCATGAATTAGAAATGTTATATTTGAATGTTATTTTAGATATTTCACCAATACACTTACCGCTGTTGTTCGTTGAATAATTGTGCCTTGTGAACTTCTGGATCTATTTGAACACCAATAACAAACAGCTACCCAGAACATTATTTTTACGACAAGAAGTATAGGAAGTATCCTGGAAAAATACATAGACATATAAAGTATATAAATCACTTTAACGAAGGTTACAGCTCCCTCAGGGGTTGTTTTGCATGGATAGCTTTGGCTGTTCCGTATATGCCCTGATTTTGATTTTGATCTTAAAACGATTTGTGAATGTGGCCTTTTTCATTTCTTGGGGATTATCATTTTGATAAATATATATATATATTTGATTAAATTGTGAACATTCTTTATATAAGCTTCTGTCGTAATTAAATATAGGTAACAATTACATATCTTTTCCTTCAATATACTATATGATTGGAATTGTCAACTTATTTCTCGGACTTTAATTTATTTTCTTACTGTGGATTATTTTTCAACACATTCTAACCTTTAAAATTAGTAACAATTAATCAATTAATCATTTTACATTTAACTTACTAATTGGTTTGACATCTCTTAAGCGAACGTAAACATATGGTTAGAACTTGCACGTGTTTTCTTCTATAACAATCATGCATAGCTTTCGGTCCGTGCAAGCAACCACTCGATCAAGTGTGCTTACGTAGAATTTTAATAAAGTCTTTTACTGTTAAAAGAACAAAATTACAACTATATGATGGAAAATAAAATACATTACATTCCCTGCGATAAGAATATTGTATATCTCCGGTTGTCGGATTCAAACTTTCTTTAATATGTGAACCATTCTAATCTTTCTTACCATTATATAATTCCTTGGTTTATGGTCAAACTTAAACAAGCTTTTTGAAACGAAATGGTTTAAATAAAAGAATTGTATAAGAAGTATGGATTCGGATGGAATAATCCACTCGCAACTGATGTAGCTAATTGGTTATCCTTTCCAAATCCTCTACTTCTTAGTTATTATGTACAAGTTTTTGTAGCAAAAGTCTAACCGTTTCAATAACAGATGATATCTCACATTTATATTACGTTTTGTATAAGTACTTAGCATGCCGTTTGTGAATTGTTATTCAAATATGTAGTTTGTTTTATGCGTCTTCTTTGAAATGTCGGTCTTCATTTTACAACTTTTTTATATTTTAATGAAATACCTTTAATATCTTTAAATCGCTACCTATCCATTTAAATGATAGCACATTTTCCCATTTCAAACACAATTATTTGTATATACTGTAAGAATATTCGATATTATAATTTTCATACTTACACAAATAATGGAACACTTTCTCCCATTCTGAAAAAAAGCTAAATATATTTATAACGTAACAGTGAATAATAGCTAATCTGTAACTTATTAACCTTCATACACAATGTGTTAAACCCAATAGATTGTGTCTGTTAAGAATGGGATTTGTTAAAATTGATTGATTACAGATTGAGTGTAGAATTAAAACAGAACCCACAGTGATCGTCTATAAACGAGTAATGCATAGATTGGTTGCTTTTTAACGTCAAAGAGAGACGAAAGATACAAAAGGGACATTCAAACTTTAAGTCGAAAACTGATATTTCATAAGTCGAATGACAAACAGTGTATGCGATCAGGACAAGTTAATGTGATCTGAATATAAATAAAATATAAAAGGTTAACAGAATGCTAAACAGTACAACAGAATGCTAAACAGTACAACAGAGCACATTAACCACCAACTTTTGAGTTAAGTTGTTGACTTAAGTGGGTCTAAAAGGAACAACCAAATCATCTAAGGTCAACTTCGACTGCGGGAGCTGGAAAAGTAAAAAGAATAATTTACCTAATGAGAATTTAAGAAAGGTTTGTTATAAATCATGTCAGTACCAAAATACTGACTTCGGAGCTGATGACACCCTCAGGGATTAATATTCCACCAAGAGCGGTATCGACCCAGTGCTAGAAAACGTAATAAAAGCTTATCAATTTCGTTCGTCCTAAGCGACTTTCTGTACTACCTTCATCGGGAACGCTGAAACCATAATATTTGAAAGCCAAGATGTATAAATACCGAAAACGTGATGAACCAAATGAATAAAGGGGATCTAAAACGTACAACCAAATCTTTCGAATGTAAAGTTTTCCTGATGTAGTAATCCAATATTCAACTAACCGGTAACAAGGGAGATACTGTTAACGAGAACTGTATATAACAAGAAAGAATAATCTAAACAAATATGAAGTTGTGTTTTTCCAGTCTCTTTATTATACATTTTAATTTATGTCAATTTCATCTTTTAACGCAGATGACTTACCTTTATTTATCAATGTTTGTTGTAATAAACGGCTTATACAAAAATTTATATCAACACAAATTCTTCTATACTTCCTGAAACCTTATATTGTGTTATTTTACGTAGGCAATACAATAAATTTGACGACCCGAAACGACGCGAAACACCTTTAGCATCTTTTGAAAGAATATTTTCTCGCCATTACTTCACAATTTGAAAGGATAAACTCTCTCAAGTTTTCCGTTTTGTTTTAAGCCGATGTTATTTTTCTGGTTAACAACATCCTATCATAAAGTATCCGATGAGCGTCGTCCAACAAGTTGTACATTGAAAACAGAATTATATCTTATGATAAGAACCATTTGATCAGTGCTGCTGCTAAAACACTGATAGTCTGACCGGATGTTGAGGACCGTAGCACAGGGGGTATTCTTTAGACATAAAGGCCGGGGATGGAAAATATGCTCACATCAAAGTGTCGGAATCGAAAGCAAATCACCTAGAAGATCAAATTTTGAAAACTAAACGTTGATAAAACATATCTAGCCTTACACCCCAAAATACTGATATGGATTGAATAAAAACGAAACATTTGTTTTAAACATATAGAACCATGGCATTAAAAGAAAGCCTTCTTTTGGCTCTTTTTCTTTAGCACTTTAGTTCTATTACCCTTATGCATTATATTTGTAATTCATTTCTGCCTTTCAAACTTTTTCTAGGGTAATATATAGGTTGGTTTTATCCAGCGATACTCGAGTACTCGCTCGGGAATATATCTTCAGCACGGAAACAGAAAAGTATGTACTTTACATTCTGTGGTTTGTTGTTCAACGGACGAAAAATCATCTACATAAGTATCTAGGACAAAGAATTACACGCCGTAATTAATAGCTCATTACCTACAAGTACATATTTAATGTTTACAAAGGCGTACGGATAAGAAGTTTAACTACTCCCTGAGGGTCACCAGATGATGTTACGAATTTATTTTATTTGGAAACATTTCCTTGTCAAATATTATTTGGGACAGTCAGTTTTGCAACATTGTAAATAACAGTCTTGCAGATGAAAATATTTGCTCTGACGATACCGATGTGACAGAATGGCTACGGTATGTTTAGTTTAAAGTGTTAATCTAGATATAGCCAGCGTATTTTGGGAGGCATTTTAAACGACAATTTAGCACAAGCATTCGTAACCAAATGTATTTTATTTGCTAGTATGATTAATCAGTGATGCCTATTTAATTTTCTGAAAGAGGTTCTCAAGGAGATCAATTTTATATAAAGAAGACAGCAATATTCTAACAGGAAACCGATAAGTCGAGTATCATTTTGGTATTCACTACTCGGTACTACCGAGCGATACTCGAATACTCGATTACTCGTTGACATCCCTATTAATATATATTGGATGCCCAGTATTGTCATAAATTCAAATAGATCAGGTGGACTAAATAGGAATGCATACACATAAAATCTGCTGACTAACAAATGATTTCAACATCGGAAACCTGTTGTCTCTAATTTACCGCAATCATTTTGTATCACAGCGTATAAACATCAAAATATAAGATAAAACTGCAAAAACCAGGTAAAAAGTGACTCATCCGATCACCACAAACATTTGCAAGTTTGGCTGTACCTGTAAAAAACTTATTTCAGACGGAATAGCACATCTTAAATTTACGGTGATGTTGTTTACCGAGTCCAGAAATTTATATACGATCCGGGTAAACTTATGAATACTTCTAAAAGGTTACCAATTTAACACTTTGATTATATCTTTGAATATTATTTTTATTGGTATTAATATTTATTTTGTTATCAGTTAATTAAAACCATACTAAATAGTATTGTTATATACATATGCACTTTCACGGTAATACTATCTGTTGATATATTTTGGCATTGCAAAATGTCATGTCTTTCTCTGACTGTTAATGACGTCTTTACACTTAATTCATAGTTGTCTCATTGGCAATCATACCACATCTCCTTATTTTCATATAAAAATCAGTTGAAAAGGGCTTAACTCGTCAGATTGATACAAAGTAGAAAAACATCTAACAAAAACACAGACCGGACATAAGAGGGCATTTATACATCCCCACAACAAAAAAGACACTAAGTACAGATCTGAGAGTACTCGTAGTTACTGATAGCCAATTTCGAAAAAATTATGATAATCATTTGACTTCTTCGGACATATAATCTACTTTATGCATTAAAAAGAAAAAAAATATTATCTTAATTAATAATAAAAAAATAATCTAATTTTTATCAGTGTTAGAATAATTTAACTCGTGAGGAAACACCAGATACCATAACATTACTTGAAGAAATATTTAGTCTATAGAAGTCTCAACCCTACACAGAAATTTTTTTCTTTAAAATGAATGTTGCAGTATGGCAATTGAGATTATTTTAAACAGTATATTTTAACACCGTTTTTTACTTGGAAATGCCTTTCTAGCTGTATTGGGTTGCTGTTTTATCTGTTTGACCCAAAACTTCTTTTATTCGTACGATAATCATTTGTCTTATTCGAGCGGATAAACCACTTTATGCCTTTAAAAAAAGAATAATATTATCATAATTAATAATGAAAGAGAATCTAATTATTATCAGTATTAGAATAATATAATACGTGACGAAAAATCAAATAATATAACATAAACTTGAAGAAATATTTTGTCTGTAGAAGTCTTAATCCTACACAGAGCAGTGTTTCATTCAAAGGAATATTGCAGTATGGCAATCTGAATGTTGTTTTTTACAATAACAAATATAACAGCAGAAAAAATACAACATTGTCTTAAATAAAAACAATTAAGTCTAATGTATATTAAAACAAATAACCAAATTTCGAAACCTTCGGTTCTGTGATTATCGAAATAAAAATTTAGGTATCGTCCAACAAAGACATGGCTTAAGAACAAACATCTTAAAATGAAAATAAAAAGGATATATTTTTTTGAATTTGTATGAAAAATATGTCCGAAAAGAATATTTAAGTTAAATTATAAATATGGTTTTGATGCGTTTACAATGTACAAATGCTTGTTACATAAGGTATTTTGCATGTTGACATGAATTCACATTGCATTAAAGCTTACGATTGGACAAATCTAAGAGGAGTTTAAATGATATTAGAAAGTGAACAGGTTAATATGTAAAACCCGACCATAATGCATTTATGTCTGATTTGTAGTGTACAAATTAAGTTACATGTTATTCTGAATCATAATTGTTATTAAAATATTTAAACAATTGAATAATTGCTATTTTTGTAATAGGTGAATTGATGTCTTACAAAAATGATAAAAAAATAAATCATATTTGTTGACACTTGTAGTTGCCCTACATGAGACATGTGTAAAAGAGGGACGAAAGATACCAGAGGGACAGTCAAACTCATAGATCGAAAACAAACTGACAACGTCATGGCCAAAAATAAAAAGACAAACAGACAAATAATAGTACAGATGACACAACATAGAAAACTAAAGACTAAGCAACACGAACCCCACCAAAAACTGGGGGTGATCTCAGGTGCTCCAGAAGGGTAAGCAGATCCTGCTCCACATGTGGCACCCGTCGTGTTGCTTATGTTATTACAAATCCGGTAAATAGTCTAATTCGGTAAGTCACATTCGTGAAAAGGGAAGGGTATTGTAGTTACGACATAAGGAACATATCCGATATCATCTGTGAAACGGTTATTCCATAACGGTCAACCAACTCGTGATGGCGTCCGTAAAATTTACGAAGGGATGACTTCAACTTCAACATTTGGAACTCTTGGTTTAATAGCTTCCTTGTGAGCAGCAATCCTCTATCAAGGAAATCATGATAGGAAACACAAGCCCGGGAATATCGTATCAATTGGGAGATATATACTCCGTATGCAGGCGCTACTGGAATGTTGCTACATAGAAATGGAAAGTTCACAATTGGGAAGCTGAAATCATCTCTTTTGTCGTAAAGTTTTGTTTTCAACCGACCCTCATTGTCAATTTCTAGATGTAAGTCAAGATATGAGGCAGACCTAACTGTATCTGTAGTATCCTTTATCTCTAGTTCGATGGGATAGATTCGTTCAACATAGTCACCAAATATTGTATTATTTAGTGAGAGAACATCATCTATATAGCGGAACGTAGAGTTAAAGGATATTGCTAACTTCTTATCTCTCTTCCTAAGAAGCTCCTGTATGAAGTCAGCCTCATAATAATAAAGAAAGAAGTCCGCAAGAAGAGGGGCACAATTGGTTCCCATTGGAATTCCGACAGTCTGTTGAAAAACACGTCCTCCAAACGTAACAAATATGTTGTCAATCAAGAAATCAAGCATCTTGATAATGTCAGTTTCGGAAAATTTTTTGTTTGAATCAGAGTGATTCTTTACAAAGTAGGATTTATCCCTCCCCAAGACAAGATACGTGTATCTACGTTCGCCATTCTTTTTAATGAAACAAAGTATTACCAACTCTTTCAATTTGTCTTTTAGTTTGGAATGGGGAATACTTGTGTAAAGTGTAGAAAAGTCAAATGTTTTAATACTATTGCAAGATGAGAGAGTCTTAGATTGTATGTACTCTAAAAGATCTTTGTAATTTTTTAGTATCCACATCTGATTCACGCCACCTCTTGAATATGCAGTTTCACAATAACTTTGGAGCCCGGCTTTGATTGCTGATAAAATAGATGTTAATAATTTAGTAAGAGGTTTCGTGGAGCACTTGGAAGACCCAGCAATATACCGTTGTTTGTAAGGACACTTATGTAGTTTAGGTATCCAATACAGTGATGGAAGATCCAGTTCTTCGTCTTTGGAATAAGCTCGTGTTTGTACAAATGTAAAGAGAACATGTTTGAAAAGACATTTCTGAAAATATATATAATCGTTGAAGGTTAATGGATGTTTGCTACTGATATGGTATGTAGAGTGAAAATATCAATTGAAAATTTAAACATAATACATTGTATCTTTTTTGTTTTTTGTTTAAGGGCATACGATACAGTTGCAGGGGCAGATAATCACGATTTCAAAACTTTTCGTGTTGTTTTCGCAACGTTGATAATCAGAACGTTGTAATTTCGCGATGTTTCTAATAAGAAATATTACAT